TGTGCGACAAACATAAACGCGACGGTCTACGACGGTTTATATCCGTCGGTAATATACCGACGGAAATGTCCGTCGTAACTTTGCGACGGTAAAACCGACTGAAACAATTTGCGACAGCTCTGTACCGACGGATTTTTGCCCGTCGTGACCCGTCGCAAAGTATCTGTTGCGACGGATATGTGTTCGCGGTGCGACGGATACGTCCGTCGCATATGCGATGTATTTTTGTAGTGAATACATGAACTTTTTCTCCGATTATCAAAAAAACACTAAACTTTGTTAGTGATCCAAAAAAATATATGAACTTTTTTCGATTGTCAAAAAAAACAAAGAAAAATAATCTGATGTGTTTGCATCTGATTGTGCCACGTCAGTCATTTTGTTTATTTTGACAATCGTTGAAGAGTTAAATGTTTATTTTATCAAACTTAAAAAGTTTAATGTTTATTTGATAAAATAAAAAGTTCAGTGTTTTTTTTTGTCAAAATTTGAAAGTTCAGTGTTTTTTTTTGGGATTTTCCCAATATTCATATATATATATATATATATGTATATAGTTATGATTCTAATGATTTAAGATTTTTTATGTATATATAAGGAAAATAAAAAAACAATAAACTTTCAAATTTTGATAAAAAACTCTAATTTTTTTTTATCAAATAAATATTAAACTTTTTAAATTTGACAAAACAAACACTTAACTCTTCTATGATTGTCAAAATAAACAAAACGACTGACGTGACATAAGGATATGTAAATACGTCATATTATTTTACTTTGTTTTTTTATAATCGCACACTAAAAAAGTTCAATTGAATAAATTGAACCAATTGATCAATTGAATCTGAGCAGAAATATTATAGTTATTACGAGTGTAATTCTAAAGTTTATCGATAATAATTATTAAACATAGATACAATTTTAGATATTTAATAAATTAATATATAAAATGATATCAATACTATATTGAGTTTACTAATTTAATATGAAACAATTGTGCTATACTTAAATCTTTTGTCAAGATTGAAAAAATTCTGATACTTAGAATCTCCAAACTAAATTACTGATATAACGAGTAGATAACGATAGACATATTTTTACTATATAATAAATAATGACTATTTTATAATATTTTAATCTTACCTATATATTTTTTTCAATATTTCTTAAAAATTTATATCATGATATTTTGTAAAGCATATAAAAAAATAACCCGCGCATCGCGCGGGTCCGCTGCTAGTAGCATATAATAATATAATATTGAATATTTATGATTTCTTTAGAATAGAAAAATCAAATTTAAACTAAAATTAAAAAATCATGTAATGTCCGGCGACTCTTACAGAATTTCGAAACTATACTTACATATCTTACAATATGTTTTTGTTCTCACTCGCATGTATATCGAAATATTTTTCAATAGATTATCTATATATTTAAACTGTTCCAGAGTCGGCACGCTTAACTTTGAAGTTTTTTCGAGATAAGCAACCGAAAAGGTAAATACACATTGTTGATATGACTAACACAACATATTCTTTTATGCTATCTTATACCGTATAGGCTCATATTTATACAGCCATCAGATCTCTTTCATTCTGGTGCTTTTGATTTATTTTTATAACCTTCTGATTTTAATAGTACTCGAGGAGCCGTTCCTTTTCCGTGCTATATGCACCAACGAACACTCTCAACCCTCATTATAATTTGGATATCACAAATTATATATATATATATATATATATATATATATATATTAAATGAAAATAATCGGATCCAATTTCAAGTCACACCATGTGGTTGTATACTTTAATATGTATATGCATACTAGTATACTACCATTACCATGATTAAGTTATATACTATGAAATCGATATGTGACCTCTATATATAGAGAATTTGTCGACCTTCTTAGATAATTTATATCCATTACCCATATATATAATAAAATACTTGAATAAAATCATTTGATACTATAAATAATAGCGCATTTATAGAGTGATCATCCACTCTTACAAGTAGCAGTAATTAGATCCTATCACGCTATACTATATAGGTTTCACACCTTTTGCTCGAATATGCGAACTCCAATCAGAAAAATCACGAGGGTTATGTAAACATGCCAATTGATCGATAATCTAATAAGACAACCATAAGGTAAGATGTTACAAAATTGGCCGTATCCTACACAATCATATGCCTATAGCCTTAACAGCCTACCTCTAAGATACTGCCAACATAAATGTTATTATAATCTTTGGTGCCAACCATTTCAATAATCGTTTGAGCAAGAATCTCTCCTTTTTTTTAGTGAAGAAATTCTAGATTCATCGAACCACTGTAAAAAAAAAAAAATCGAATATGGAGCATCTTCTGAACCCCTCCAAGTCCCCCAAAGTCCAGTAAAAAATGAGTTCGAGCATTAACTAAGATATCAAATACATGGTTAGAATAAAATCAAGTTGTTCATTTGATGTGCCAAGGGATAGGACGATGGCTCACGAGAGGGCGAGAGGGTTGCGTTTTTTATATAAAGATCCAGACGAGAATATCTATACAACGTACCGACAAAAAGTTGATTAACACAATTTGCTCGGAAAAGGACATAAATTGTTTGTCATTACAACTGGTTTGATCTTGTTCTCTTCTCGTGTCTCATCTTTGAAAAATTGAAATATGTTGGTTTCTATTTGTATTTGTTCGGACAATTGAAAATTTACATCTGCAATTTGTTTATATATAGTTATATACATTACTACTCTTATTTTTGGGTTTGATTGTATTTATTTCATTACAAATTTTATTCACTGTGATATTAAAAAATTTTATCAAAAGAAAAGATTTGTATATTTGAACTAATTAATTAGATTATCAACAATAACAATAATAACTTTTAAAAAAATAATAATAATTAGACATTTAAATAACATCGATGGGTTTAAATAATAATATAACATTTCGGCGAGTAAATAAAAGGATAAAATGATTAAAAAAATGCAAAATTTAATGGCTAAGGTATTCCAACAAGTGTTAACGACAAGTTGGGAAAAAGGGGTCTTCTAGATGACGGAATCTCACAGAAATTGAATAACCAAACCAAACTAAATTAAACTAAACTAATATACAACTTGCTAAATGTCTAATGAAATACCAACCTTTGACAAAAAAAAAATATACAACTTGCTAAAATCCCAAAACAGCATGTCCGAAACAAATACATTATAATAGAAAACAAGAAAAAAAATCCAAGAGAGTGACCAAACCATCTTCAAAAAATTTTGTTTTTTTTTTGGTTAATCGAAGGATAGAAAATTAATTATCATATATGATTTCGAAATGATATTGTTTTAAGGAATTTATAAAATTAAAAAAAAAATGAAAGTGGGACACGGAAGTTAGAAACGGGAACGTGAGGCAGGAAAAGAAAGAGGGGGTGGGGGCAGAGGGGAATAATTAGGACGGTTACGAGTTATAATCATTTAAATGAAAAACCGAGTTACGTTAAATTCACTTATGCTAATTAAATTGCAATGAGGCCATTTGTATAAATCTCATAAGAACAATGTAACGCTTTTGCTGCATGTGGTCGGTTATGGTGTCCCACGCACATGACACATCCCTCCCACGGCCACGGACTTTTTTCCCTGACCCTTCACTTCCACCTTTTTTTATTAACTAACTTCGTTGTTCGTTGTACCCTTTTTTTGTTAGAATGTGAGTTTTAACATTGCATATATCATTAGCAGAAAGATAGTATTATTATATAGATTTCATTCCTAATTCTCGTTTTTTTTATATTATTCAAATTGAAATAAGACATGATGACGTGGCGGTGGCAAGGAAAAATACGGACCGGAGGCTGCGTTGTTCGTCAGCGATAAGTGTTGGGACAACCATTATCTTCGCAAGCGAATTCTGTCCATAACAATCCAAACCTAGAGGTAAGGAACGAATTTCAGGGCAACCACCGATCACGACAAAACCTCCGGCGACGACGGAGAAATCTCTGGCGCCGGAGCCTCCGTGGTTCTGGGAAATGCTAATGTGGTGGCGGAGATGGACGGTGCTGGTGGTGGCGATTTGGATTCAGGCCTCCACGGGGACGAACTTCGATTTCTCAGCTTATTCCTCCAACCTGAAATCCGTTCTGCAGATTTCTCCGTCGAGACTGAATTATCTGGCGGTGGCTTCGGACTTGGGCAAGGCTCTAGGCTGGTCCTCCGGCTTCGCTCTATCATATTTCCCGCTCTCCGGCGTCCTCTTCGCCACCGCGGCCATGGATCTCGTCGGTTACGGCGTCCAGTGGTTCGTCATCTCCAATTTCATCACTCTGCCATTTCTAGGAACTCTTGGCCCCTCGTGTGAGTGAAACATATAAATAATTTTCCAGTTTATAAACTTCTTGGCTGAAGTCTTCCTATTACTTCTGCTAGCTTAACAACAAAGCCTTCTGGGGGAGCAACATGAATATCTTTAGGCAAAGATGATGTGTTGGCAGGAGATCCAAAATCAGCGCCTATCTTTCTGCTGAGGAAACTACTCTCTACAAATATCATCCGAGAATTACAATCAGCGTGAAAATACATAAGGAACTGAAATATAGCTGGACAGAAAAACATGTCCGTGTAAGACAAAACCCACCTGCATCACACAAGGCTTGAGTTAGAGAAACAAGTCTATCCTCATCTCCGGGATCAAATCCATGCTTATCTTCTTTGTCACCGAGGACCAGTGACTTCACTACAGAGAGGCTCAAGGCACCTCTCTCCTTCACTGGACGCTATCAAGTCATGTTCATCGAACTGCTTGGAGTTACTGCTTCTGCTTGTCCTATGTTTGAGAGGTATGCAACATTTGTCGAATAACCTTGCAGAACGGTTTACAACATATTTAGAGTGCGTCTAAACATTTTTAGAGTGCTTCAAAACATGTTTACAGTGCGTCGAAACATAATTAGAGTGCATCCAAACATGTTTAGAGTGCATGCTTAGAGTACAACCAAACATGTTGAGAGTGCGTCGAAACATATTTAGAGTGCGTCGAAACCTGTTCATAGTCTGATCATTGCATTCCCTTGGCGGATCTCTAGAGTACTCGTTCGAGGCGTCTTCTTCTTGGGCCATCATTTCAATATGATCTTCTAGCTCAGCGAATGACTTGTTCCGGATGTTCCCACCACACGAAGCTCGGATCAAAGTCTTGGTATCCATTCTGAGTCCTCGGAAGAAGGTGTTGATCAAGTAGTTCTTGTCAAGCCCGTGATGAGGGCAAGACTTCTGATATCCTTTGTACCTCTTCCAAGCTTTATAAAGGCTTTCCCCATGATCCTGCTTGAATGAATGAATGCCAGAAAGAGCTGCTTGAGTGCGGTGGGCTGGAAATTTTTTTGACATAAACTGCACTTCCAGCTGTTTCCAAGTATGGATGGAATCAGGTGTGAGATCGTAACACCATTCCAAAGCAGCATCCAAGAGAGTCCAGGGGAAAGCAATTAAGCGGAGTGTATTCTCTGTCACCCTATTATCTCTCTTGATAGAACGACACATCATCTTAAAGCGAGTTAGATATGCGTTCGGGTCTTCGTTCGGCCTACATCGGAAAGCATTATTGCCCAACATCTGAATAGTAGACGGGTTCAGCTCGAAACTAGACATGTCGATGGCCGGTAGTCGAATACCAGCCAAAAGCTCAGTGTGCTTAGGCGTGTTGTACTGGGCAAAGGTTGAGTCAGCATTGCCCTCGGCACCATTGGGAAGAGCAAAATCTCGGTCGTTCTCCATTTGTCTGCGTTGACATCGATGTATCTAACGGTCCTTTCAAGCTCACGATCAAGAGGTACTAGGTCTGATGTCCCAACACTCCTGGTTATGCACTAGAAAAACCTGTGCACCAAACGAAAAACAACAACAAACGAAGAAAACGTGAGAGATCACCTACGAAAAAGAAAAAGAAAAAGAAAAAGATCCAGACTAGATAGGATCTAATCCTGTTGCCTAAATTATCCCCGGCAACGACGCCAAAAACTTGATGTCACAAATCTAGGTGTAGAAATATGATCAACTAATAATAACCTAGACTCAACAAATACCGCAAGTGTACGGATCGATTGTAATAGCTAGGGTCGACTCTCGTAATTGGCCGAACTGTTAATCCGGAATACACTTATTGTCGACCAAGAACATGAACTGGTTATACGTGCCCAAGACGTCCTCTCTTTATTGGGTTGGCGGTTCGGTTTCTTCCTTTGCTGAAAACGGAAGTCTAGATGTAAAATATGAAAGTTTCCCGTAATGCAACACGGCCGTGTCGAACGGAAGAGTGCATGGCAGTTTATATAATTATATACATAATTTCTGTTATGGAAGCCATCGATACCAGCTCGCAAAGTTAGGACAAAAAGCCTGCCTTCAGCGAAAGGGAATGACCAAGTGACTTCTGGTTTCTGTTCACGTCCAATAAAACGCTTGAACCAAGAAGTTGTCTTGGATTCTTTTGAGTCTACCAAGTCATATTCGAACCGGGAGACATGGTTTGGGTGCACATGCGCAAAGAGAGATTTCTTAACCAAAGGAAATTGAAGTTGATGTCCAGATAATTCAGATTTGAGGACAAATCTTTCTCAAGAAGAGGAGAATGATGAGGACATCCAAGGCCGACGCACTCTAAAAATGTTTCAATACACTCTAAACATGTTTGGATGCACTTTAAACGTGTTTGGACGCATTCTAAATGTATTTGGTGCGGTTCCTCTGAACAGAAGGATAAAAACTGAACATGATCGTTTGATTCTGCTAAAGATCATTGTCAATTGATGGATACGAATCCTAAGATCAGGGGCATTTTTAAACTGGCAATCACATGAGATTCCTGTATACAAGGTTGCAAGTGAAATGCACTGGGCTGTCTTGTGGAATTCTAAAACGTTTGGGGGTAAAAACATTAGTTTCGGGAAAATGTGGGGTTATGAAGATATTTTTCCTCCAAAAACCGATTTACGCGGCAAAAGAAAAACTGAAAAAGAAAAAAAAAAGATATCAGTGACGTGGGAAACATACAGATTGGCCCCAAATCAGAACCCTAGCCTGAGAATGAAAACACAGGTCTGTTGAAATAATTTCGTTTTCTGGCTTCCGGTTTCTGTAGAAGTACTTGTGATTTCGTTTCTGAGTTCCGGTTTCCATAGAGGTAAGTGGTTTGAATTAGATTCTCTTCATAGTTCTCCTAGAATTTTGTTTGACGAGATCGGCCGCAAGACAGTAAGTTAGAGAAGTTCCGTGAAATATGGAGATATTGTTTATTGTTAATTTGGATGTTTTTTTCGCTCTTTTTATTTTGCGTTGTTGACGCTTTGTTTCTGAACAAAAATTAATTATTTACATTTCTTTTTTTAGGTTTCTTTCCCATTTTTATGTGAAATCGAATCAAATGACGGTGCTTTACATCGACATTCTCTGTATACTTATGATCCGATTACTTATTTGTGTCTGTAACAGCTCTAGATCTCCTGGAAAATGAAGAAGTGAAAGCAATCATTGGTGGGGAATCATTGCTCGAAGCAAAGCTTTTGGCTGAGCTCGGGGAGAATGCTAAAGTTCCTGTGATTTCGCTTCATGCGCCTATCTCGTTATCGTTGAAGAAATATAGTCACTTTATTCAAGCCACACATGATCCAGCATCTATGGAGATAGTAAACATGCAATACGAGACTTCTCACCTCCTTAATGGGAGAGATATCGCTGGGCTTTTGAACTCTATGGAGATAGTAAACATGCAATACGAGACTTCTCACCTCCTTAATGGGAGAGATATCGCTGGGCCCCTCGTGGAAATCAGATTATGAAAAACGCGTGGCCACGTTATAGATGAAGTTTCATCTATTTTATTAGTCGATTTGCCAAGATGAGAAAGCGGTTGAACTTGAAGGGTGGCTCAAACCATGCCCTTGTTCAACATATGATATCGTGAGACAAAGGATCAGAATTTAAGCTGTTACTGCCTTGGTTAGATCGCCTCTAACTCAATTCAACGTGGGTGGTCATGGCGTCTTGCTAGAGGCTAACCATGACTTGTAGATCGGGAATGGTTCTCGAGGCTGCTGCCACTGCGAATGGGCCTACAGGGACACACACCATTAGGGACAGACTTACATGTGAAGTATCAGAAAGGAAGACTTGGATTTGACCGAACAAACGGTTTTGGATCAAATCAAGTGTCGAGAAATGGTCTCAGCCTTCTCACTCGGACTGAGTCAGTTCCCAGTCGAAGCCCAGAAAATATTTTTTGGGCTTGGCTGATGTTTTGACTCGACCGAGTCAAATACTGACTCGGTCCGAGTCAAATACTGACTCGGTCCGAGTCAAATACTGACTCGGTCCGAGTCAACTCTAAATTGACCGAGTCAAAAGTTTGTGATGGGCTTGGGTTGATTCGTTCTGACTCGACCGAGTCAAAGTTTTGACTCGGACCGAGTCAAATCTCGACAAAAAGTTGGGTGTGCCGTGCTATCTTGGTGACAATCTCATACGAGATATGGCAAATGATTCCTGAACGTACATTTCCAAATCATGCGTTTTCTAGAGTCCATGTGACAATCTCATGCAGGTCATCCAGTATTCCGTTCTCCAACGAATACCAATGACTGTGATCGTATCCAATACCTATGATCATCTATATGATCATCAATCACACATCATACTTGTCTTGGTATATCATTATTTCCACAATGATACATGACTAGGGAGTTTAGTATTGTTCATAACAATACATGGATTTCATAACATATCAAGTATGCACAATACGTAATGAATCAAACGCTCATCCATAAATCATAGAAAGCGTCAATACATCAAATGCATCCAAGTAAAGCTCGCAAACAGTACATCATAGAGTACTAAACCAACAGAAGGGTCTGGAACGGACGGACCAGAAGTCCGGAACGGACGGTCCGCCAGGTCCAGACCCGACGGTCGGCGAATAGTCGCAGACCGTCCATTCTAAGTGTTGGAACGGACGGTC